GTCAATCTTCTTTGGCCCTCAGTCCCCAGACACAAGTAAATATAGCTCCTGCATTTGATGTCCGCTTCTTCCCACGGAATTCCGTCTACTGTTGGACCAAGGTTGTCCAAATGATGACACTGATTTTCCCACGCTACCCGTTTTTCTTGGTTGTGTAGATTGCGATCTCGTACCTGTTTGTCGGTTTCCCCCTCGATAGAGAGTTCATATCAGGGTTCTTTGGATTTTCGTATAGCTGGGGGGTTTTGGTGATAGCACCGTCTTTTGCGATGATGCCAAGGAATAATTTTTATTTCCACTTATCCCACGCTAATGGTGGTTCCGCTGAGGCTTTCTGCCAAAACGGTGTGATCGCCAATGGGTTCTTTGTAAGTGCTGGCTGCGCCATGTTATACCCTCATCCGTTAGGTGAGGTTAAATCTATATTCTTCTAAGTCTATGCTGAACGCTAACTGAGAATTGAACGATTAAGAGAGCAATTTAAATTCATTTAACAATGTTTAAGTCTGGCTGACACTGACCTTGAATCAATTGAGAGACAGTGTTTCATAATAACTAGTACATATGTCATTGCGTATAAATAGGTACTTATTTAATCATCAGACTTCTATATGTGTTAAATAATCAGTTATGTTTATAGTATGTAATCATTACCAACTGGTAGTTCTAGCACCTAAATATATATCATTAGTGAAGGATGTTTTGCTATAATATCCGTACGGATAACACCAACAACCATTTTTGAGGTTACTTACTGTGTAAAATCAATATCAAGGGCCAGTTTTTCTCCGAGCTTGGTTTTTTAGCAAACGGTTTTTAAGCAATCTGGTTTATTAGCAAACTGGCTTCTCAGAAATTCAAACGGGGCATTGGCACAAAGTGAACGTTTGCCCGACTGCGCTTACGTTTGACACGGAAACAGGAAATTAGACACAAAAAAATAGAAGGATTTTGGACAAAAGCAAAGTGTTTACCAAAATTACCAAAATAACAGCTTCTTTTTTTCCCATTTCCCATATTTGTACTTTTCGAATTCGTTTTGAGTCTTTTTATTTATACCCCCCCCCTTTATGATGAAAAAAGAAAATGAAAACTTTAATCTTAAAATTGGGTCAAAATTACTACAACACGGGGCTGATATTCAGACAAAAGAAAAACAAGGAAAAGTACCCTTTTGAAGCTAATTTAGATGAAATTGCTTCGGTTCGGCCTGCACCATATTGATAGCCAGCTTTTCACAGTATTATCGATCCAATGTTGCAAAAAAAAGGACTCGACTTTTCCTTTAGGGATGTATAATCAAAAAAACCATTCGTTTTTTATAAGGTTTCAATTGCTGATTGTCTAATTTCCCTGGATCCATTCGGCCTAACATGTTTGGTTTGCGTAGCGTTAACGAAATTAACAGGCTGTAAAAATTTATCAATCTAAGATTTTTTGAGATATGTAACTTTTTTTTATAAGTAATTGAATTGATGAGACATTCTGAGGCCAAATTGTGCACTGGATACGCGCACAATTTTGTGTCTGTATGCTCCTGGAGTCAAGTGACAAGTCTTTAAAGATGTTAAAATTTAATCGGAACGATCAAAGAAAATGAAAGAACAAAAAAAGAACAAAGGGAGTATCTTTGTTGACGAATCCGCTTACATTTCCCAAAAAGCACATTTTGCCCTAAACTGTGCACTGAATAGGCGCATAAATTTGTGTCGGAATAATTTTGTACGTTTCAAAGTTCTACACTTTGATATTGTCCCAAATGTATAGTTTTTCAATTATTATTTTATCAAAAATTATTTGATATGAAATAGGGGACAGTCTGAGCATTCAGGGCTTTGCCCTGATATACGAGCAATCTTGTTTGATTTAATGATTCATTACGAGGCCAAATTGTGCTTTTTGGACCACTCCCTTTGTTATTTCTTTGTTCTTTCATTTTCCATTTTCGTCCTGGATGTCTGAGACTAGTCTTTAAACAAGTTAAAAATTTGTCGGAACGATCAAAGAAAATGAAAGAACAAAAGAAGAACAAAGGGAGTGCTCTTGTGGCCCAAAACTTGCAATGAATAGGCGCATAATTTTGTGTTTGTATTTTCCCGGAATCCAAAGACAAGTCTCTAAACTTGTTAAATTTTTGTTGGATTGATCAAAGAAAATGAAAGAACAAAAGATGAACAAAGGGATCTGTCCAAAAAGCACAATTTGGCCTCGTAATGAATTATTAAATCAAACGAGACTATTCGTATATCAGGGCAAAGCCCAGAATGCTCCAACTGTCCCTTAATTATTTCATATCGAATAAATTTTGGGAAAATAAAATATTGAAAACCTATACATTTGGGACAATGTCAAAGTGTAAAAAGTAATACGGCCAATTAGCTAGCCTCAATTCACTTTGGAATGATTTTATTGTGCCGCATAATTAGCCAGGCATAAATAAATTGCGTTACGCTCTCAGCATTATGCATAAATTCTTCAAAGCGCGCATAATTTAGTCCCGAACATGGTAATTTTGGCAATTTTCGAACCCCAGAACTTAGCAAAAATAAACGGAGGTAAAATACCTTTTTTCATTTGAACTACGGACGTCACTATCTTTAATGGAGTCTAAGCAAGTTGTTGAAATATCTTTTTTCGATCGGCAAAAATTGACTGAATAAAACTAACAAAATTAACACGCTGCCAAAATTTATCAATCAAAGGTTTTTTGAGGTATGTAATTTTTTTTATAATTATTTAATTTGATGAGACATTACGAGGCCAAATTGTGCACTGGATGTGCGCACAGTTTTGTTTCTGTATGTTCCTGAATTCCAAAGACATATCTTAAAACATGATAAAATTTATCGGAACAATCAAAGAAAATAAAAGAACAAAAGAAAAACAAAGGGAAAGTCCTTGTTGCGGAATCTGCTTATATTTCCCAAAAAGCACAATTTTTCCCAAACTGTGCACTGGATAGGCGCATATTTTTGTGTCTGTATCTCCCTAGATTCCAGAGACAAGTTTTTAAAAAACTTGAAATTTTGTCGGAACGATCAAAGAAATTAAAAGAACAAAAGAAGAACAAATGGAAAATCCTTGTTGCGGAATCCGCTTACATTTCCCAAAAAGCACAATTTTCCCAAACTGTGCACTGGATAGGCGCATTTTTTTGTGTCTGTATCTCCCTAGATTCCAGAGACAAAATTTTAAAAAGTTGAAATTTTGTCGGATCGATCAAAGAAAATGAAAGAACAAAAGAAAAAAAAGTGAGTGTCCTTGTTGCGAAATCTGCTTAGGTTTCCCAAAAAGCACAGTTTGGCCCAAAAACGTGCACTGGATAGGCGCACAGTTTTGAGTCTGTATGTTCCCCGATTTAGGAGGCAAGTCTTTAAACCTGTTACCTGTTAAAATTTTCTCGGAACAATCAACGAAAATGAAAGAACAAAAGAAGAACAAAGGGAGTTGTCTAAAAAGCACAATTTGGCCTCGTAATGAATCATTAAATCAAACAAGACTGCTCGTAAATCAGGGCAAAGCCCTGAATGCTCCGACTGTCGCTTAGTTAATTCATATCAAAAAAAAATTTTGGAAAATAAAATATTGAAAACCTACACATTTGGGACAATGTCAAAGTGTAAAACGTTGAGTCGTACGAAATTAATACGAACAATTGGTTAGCCTCAATTCAATTTGGAACGATTTTATTGTTACGGATAATTCGTAACGCATAAATAATTCGCGTTACGCTCTCAGCATTATGAATAAACATTCAAAGCGCGCATAACTTAGTCCCGAACATGGCAAATTTGTCAATTTTCAAACCCCCAGAACTTTGCAAAAAACAATTGGAGGTGAAATATCGTTTTACATTTGAACTCAGGAAGTCGCTATTGTCAATAGCTATCTTCAAAAGTTGTTGAAATTTATTATTTGAACAGACAAAAATTGACTGAATAAAACAAAACCACGCTGAGCATAAATGTTCCGTTTTTTTTTCAAAAGTCCGAACAAAAATTTTAAATTGAATAAAAAAATTGGTCAAAGGAAATTGTAAATAAATTCAGGGCCAGTAATTGAGGAATTTTTGGATTAACATTGGACAGGTAAAAAGAAGAAACCAAGCCTTTACGTATTGGTTATGCAATTTCTTAAAGAAATACTAACTAATAAATTATGTGTTTTTACGACACGCAAATGTCAAATGAAATCCGGTGCAGATATGAAGCACGTTTTGGTTTGAGTTCCTATCTATAAAACAAACAAAAATTTTTCGGCCACGTTTTAATTTATGGCCTTCTTATTTCCCGGCTCCATTCGGCTTAATATTTTGTTATGCATAGATTTAACAAAAGTAACGCCGGCGATGCGTAAATCTATCATTCAAAAGCTTTTCGAGGTATCTAAAAAAATGTTTCATATATATCCAAATTGATGAGATCATTATATCAAAAAGTTTCAATTTCAATTTTGAAATTGCTTGAGGCAAATTTATAAAAATTCGAGGGCAGTTTGCTAGGGATTTTTGAATTACCATTGGAGGATAAAGAGTAGATTACAAGCATTTATGAATTATTTCTGCATATTTGTTTATGAAATACTAACTGAAAAATAATTTGTTTTAACATCACAAAGTGTCAAATTCAATCCGAAGCAGATATAAAGTTTAAATTCCTATCTTTGAATCGTAGCTTGGGCTTGAATTTGACAATGTGGGATGTCAAAACAAATTTTTGAAATCAATTGGTTCAAGTAAATGTACTTAGAGAGACTTTGATAGCTCTTTTTTAGTAAATTTATTTTAACCAACTGATTCCAAAATATTTCCAGGAGCTAATTTCAGAGATCAGAGCTATCAAAAGCACGTTTTTTTCTAGAAGCCAACCAACGCTAATTGAAAGGGGGTGATATTAAGCATAAAATAGATTTTTCTCTAAACCTTTTTGAAAAGGGTCGGCAGTCGGATGCAAAAACCGTTTTGGCAAAAATTGAAAAACATTGTTTTTTGGAAGCTCCCGTCAAAAAAAAAAAAATCAAATGACACTGTGGAAACCCTTATGCTCAGCTAGTCTTCAGTGATAATTCAGTTTGTTGGCTGAGTTGATTGCAGACACTAGAAAAAGATGTTCAGTCGCTGGTGAGGCTGCCGGCGCCGATGCCGTACCCGTAGCCCCGCACTCCGAAATTCTTCCGGTGGCACTGCTGACAGTAGATGTCCCCCTCGTGGTCATTCATGCCTCCTATCTCCAGTTTCTTGGAACAAGTCTCTGAAAGCAAACACCGACATGTTATTTTTTATTTGTATTGATGTAGCGTCCACAAGCCTATTTCTGGCTTTTTTCTATCCTTTTCTTGGGCTAAATTAGTAAATTGACAAATTTTCTTTGATTATTTGATGCACTCAAGATGAATAAATAAATATAATTTTCTCATCGACCAATAATTTCACTACTCATTTTAAAATATGCATATATTGCAATTTCAGCAAGACCTGTAGTGCCCCGCTAACTCAATTTTTGAGAGAAAAAACGAAGGAAGTTCAGCCTAGGTTTCCATTTCCTTGTTAATAGTTCATGCAGATATTTTCTAACAGTTTGTTCATGTTTGCTAGGCGCATGGGTTGCTTGCACTCAACCAGGGACTTCAGGTTTTTATTTCACTGCCAGATTTGAACTCATGACTTATTGCTCCGAAGTTGTACAATTATTGTTCACGTGCTAGTATCGACGTAATTTCGAACCATTCGACGTTTTTACCATTCGACGAATAATTTAGTCATTATAACCCTCATTATGAACCTAATATGATTCGAACGACAGTAGAAAAAATATAAAAAATAAAGAAAATAAAGAAAATTAAAGAAAACAAATTTTCTTTAATTTTCTTAAAACTACAACTCGATTGAAAGATTTCTTTCTCTCCTATTTACTCATTATAATGAGGGTTATAATGAGTAAATCGACGTAATTTTCTTTATTTTTTTTATTTTTTCTACTGTCGTTCGAATCATATTAGGTTCATAATGAGGGTTATAATGAGTAAATTACTGAAAAAAAATTCCAACTTGGTTTACAAACTGGAACCTGATCTAAACTACATTTTATTATTGGATAAATTAGATATTTTACCACTGTAAAATATTTAATATTAACCAATCATAATCCATCTAACTAACAACCCACTTATTTGTAAGTGCTGAAATTACTTGTAATTTCAGCACCAGAGAGATTTGAATTTAACTTAGAAATTAGTTGTCTCTCCAAGAGAACTTCAGCTGCCGCAATAAGCCAGTATACTCTAGATCTATTGAGCCTAGCAGAGACTAGTTAAACACCCTGAGACTAGTAGATATAAGAGTAAGATTAGGATCGGTATTAGACTAAGAAGTTGCACGAATCTATCTGGCCAAAAATAAGATAGCGTGACGAGCAGACGGTGTACCCTATCCGAAATTACTCTATGAGTTACACCTCGAACCTAACTCAAAAGGCGGCTGTCATGACACAAACTGCCGGTCTTGATGTCTTCTAAAACCACTTCATAAAAGTTATTTCAATGTCTTTTGAGTTTTAGTAAGTAAATTTTTTAGTTTTTTTTTCAGTACAGCATGAAAAAACAAGCATAAGACGATACAATCTCACCTCATTGGAAAACTAAAAATTGAAAAAAATTTTCAATCTCATTCAAAACAAGTAAGACTAAAAATCTGTTTACCGAGTGTTGTTGAACTGCAAGACCTAGTTAATACAGTTAAAAACCTTGAAAATTAAATTATTTTTGGGCAAACTGATTTATTGTTTCAATTCATTAGACTAGGTTTTTAGCCAGCCATTTTTTTGTTCCGACTTATTGAAAAATTGGAAGGAACTTTTCATTTGGGTGTGTTGTAGTTTTTTTTCTTGCAAAATCCAGTACCAAAATTAGTGATTGGAATGGGTCAAGTTATATATCAAATTGAAACTCTTTCAATTGTTATTCAAACTGTGTTAAAGCGTTTCAAAAAACGTTGCCAGTGTTGAGAAAAACCGGTTTGAAGTGTTCGATTTTTTGTTTAACTTCGAGTGAGCGAGCAGGCTTATAACCGTTTGTTTTATTAGCTTAAAAACTTACAATTGCCTAATTCAATGGCACCAGCACTACGCTCACCAGCACTACACAATCAACAACCCCCTCTCTTCCGCCTCCTCCTCCCGGTTTTTCAACAACGTTTTTTCTACACACCCTCCTAATATTAATTTCCCCATTCTTACTCACCCTTTCCCCCCCCCCCCATTTACCCCCCCCCCCCCCCCACCCCCCCCATCATATAGCCACATGTATTTGCAACCCAACTCTTTTGTGGGACCGTAAAATTGGGGATGGAGGGTTAAAATTGTTGGAGGGGTGTATATGAGGTGTTGGTGTGCCAAAAAACTGGTGTATAAGGCGAGAAAAATAGGAGAGAAAGAAATCTTTCAATCGAGTTGTAGTTTTAAGAAAATTAAAGAAAATTTGTTTTTTTTCTAAGCTCATGATTCCAATAAACATAGAAAAAAATACTTATTTTTATGGGCAACCGATAGCACTTGTTTTGTACTTGGTGACCGGTAACCATTTGAGATAATTGTTTTTTTTTTCTTAAACAAAGATAAAAAAAAAATTGTTACCCGATACGTTAAAGAGTGATTTTCTATTTGGTACTTTTTTCTTCATTTTTCATGTTTGAAAATCCTATTTTCGGATCATTTGGTATTTCGAAACAAGTTATCGAAAAAAAAACTCAATAAACAAAATTTTTTAAAGGTGTGAGAGCGATCTCGAAGAAATTTCAATACTTTGTATTTGAACAACTCGTACCGTCACACTGTATTGTTTTAAGAGTATATAAGAAAGGTTTTCGTATTTTTTTTTGTAAAACACCAAGCGGTTGCAAAGCTTTTTAGTTTGCGCTACATTACACTTGAATTCCACACTGGTCTAATATTTGATTCATTTTAAATGAATACAAGACTGCTCGTATCAGGGCGAAGCTCTGAATGTTCCGACTGCCTTTTAAGGTTTATGGAGCAGTAATAACATTAAAAAATTCAATGAAATAAAAACAAAATGAAAAAAAAAATTTTTTTTTCTAAAATTTGAAATTTTTAAATGAAAATCATCCCCCCATACGCCATATAAAGTACACAAGGATAGATTTCGCTCCTTGTAACAAACCAATTATGGCAAATAATCTTCTTTTAACCAATTTGGAACTATCATGCGTTAATTGATCGCGCGTTAATTGATCGCGCGTTAATTGTCCCAAGTTGGCCAAAAGGGCAATCTTTAAACCCCCGTAACTTTACGAAAAATGATCACAGGTGAAATATCTTTTCAAATTTGAGCTTAGGATAACAATACTTTTCGAATGATATTGACAGAAAAATTCTGTCAAAAATGGCTATTTAAAACGTAGAAATTTGTCTGAAGAAAAAAAAACCCACCCCGAGCACAAATATTCCGTTACTTTCGTATCGAAAGTCGGAACAATAACACAGCTAGGCACGTAATGCATTGTCTTTGCAATCATTCGAAAAGTTTTTCGTAGCGTGTTTTTTAAATAACAAGTTTTGAAAAAAGTGATGATCTCTCATTAAATCTTTTCCCACCCCTGGAGCTGCAATTGTTCAACTTGAAAAACACAGAATATTGATCCGTAAATGTTTGGTAAAACAAGACACTGAAAATTGAAGTTTTTCTGTTATCTGCAATTGAATGATCACAAATGGTTTCTGAACTAATTGATCCCAAACGATTTCTGATCCGAGCCCGTTTCCGAGAAATTACTTTTAATTTTTTCTTGGCGGAGTGTATAGAACAAAAAAAAAACATCTCGGCTCTTATCATCAGCTCTACTATCGGTTTTAATCAATTGAGCACTCTGATTTTTGAATCAAAATTACTTCGCTCTTCGACTAAAACAAAAGTTGGCATATATTTGGACGCTACAGTGTATCCGCCTACTTTATATAACTCGACTTCGTCGTCTTTATCTTACCATTTTTGAGTTACTAACTCTAGACTGTATGCAACTGCCTCTAAATTTTGCTTCGATTTATTAAGATTTTGCCTTCTCTTGATTTATAAAAATGTTGCCTTCTCTCAACCTTGTGCTCTCAATTCTGGAATCCACATTCATCAACATCATTTTGAAAAAAAAACGGAACTTGAAAAATTGATTAGATAGCATGTAGCAGGTTATAGGTGATAATGTACAGTTTAAACTCCAAAAACCAATATTTGAAATTTTGAGACCATAAAAAGCGCTTGTGCTCGACTAATAAAGTCAACATTTTTCATATGTTTAAAATGAAAAACACCGACCATAAACGAAACATTAAAAAAATGTTCATATTTTGGTCTATCTGCCATTTGTAATTTGGGCCGCATTTTCAATTTCAATTATTTGCCAGTTAGCTGGTAACTCTGGTTTCGGCGGATTTTTCTGATGAGTTGAAATAAATTGTTTTCCTGTTTTAGACCTACATATTGACGGAGTTCGACCTATTCCTTGGTTCCTCTAGACTTACACTTCGGCTATTATTGACCCTTTTTTCAACTATGCTTCACAAAGATTTTGACTGTAATCAATCTATAATTTGACTGTCTTGGATCATTTTTTTGACTTTTAAAACAAGAACTGGGTATTTTTTTGTCGCTGCTCGCCGATATTGGGCTTGTTTTGACTGTGAAATGATTTGAGTAAAAAGAAATTCAAACTGCAGTTTAGGTTTTTCAGAGGATGTCTGAGCAGAAAACTTTTTAAAGCATCACTATAATGCAAACTGCTTGAAGCAAAAATAATTATAGTACTAAATCCAATTAATTTAAGCATCAGTACTGCAGTATAAATTGTTTGAACCGAAAAAAATTTTTGCATCATTTTTTTTTTATTTTTGCAAAGGATTTTTTTTTATAAAGTTTGCAAAAGAAGCATTAAACATAAATTTGATATTTGTGGAAGTTTCTCTGCAGTTAAGTTATTTTTACTACGCTCCTAAACTCAAAATGTTGAAGGAATCTCCCTGAAAATTATAACCCTCGCAAGCGACTCAAATCAGACAACATTCGACTTGTTTTCACGTGTTTTGACTTTTTTGATCTAATTTGGGTTTGTTCCGTCTGTGCTTAAAGAATGTTTCGACTTTCTAGAACAAAAAAAAGCCTGTGCTGAAGTAAAAATGGCTTTTTGACAGTGGATTTTCTTTCAAATGAGTTCAGCTTCTCGATTTCGAAAGCTGATTCATAAATCGAGTAACTGGATCTGGGAACCATATTGATTTGTAATTGCCCACTATTTTCCCTTACTATCAGTCATATAATTGTTTTCTCGTTAAACGAAGACCAACAGTAAAACCAGGACACAGGTCGATATCCGCGACCTATTTTCACTTTCTTAAAGCTGCGTCGATGTTCATTCCGTGAACAAAAATTTAGAATTTGGACAGCTTTTCACAGTCGCTGACAAACTCTGAAAATCTCAATTTTTGGTCAAGATTGTCTGAAAGAGAGTCTCGATGGTCTGTTCATGAAGTCGCAACACTGTGACGATTTACGTGCCTTGAAAAAAAAAGATATTTTGTAGCATTTATAGTTTGCAACTGCAAAATCTACATTAAAAATATCCTTTATCTCCAGTCAATAATATTCCACTTACTGCACTTGAGGCATTCTTTGTGCCAGGATCTGTCCTGGAACTTGACTTCCTCGTTAAAGTAGACACTCTTCCCACACTGGACGCAAGAGGGCGACGGCACTGGCTTGAACGGCATCTCTTTTCAAGTGAGTGTCGAGAACTAAACAGAACAACTGCTGAAGATGTGTTAGCGTGTAAACGTTCAGTAGCGAATTTAGGGGGTGACGCTTCCCTCTTCAGGGATTCCACCCTCTGCCGTCCCAAAGGGTCAGCCCATTTATACTACTTCGAGATATCGATTTGTGGTGACGGACCCTATAAGCTTTCCAAACAGTAACTAAAAACGCAGTTTTTGGCATGTTTTTCAAATGTTTGCCTGCGGCGCAGAAAGTTTGGCAAAAACAGGCACGAAAATTTTTTGAAATTCCGCCCCCCCCCCCCCCCCGGAAAAAATCTCAGATCCGCCTCTGAAAGCGTTAAAGAAACCTTTTACCGAGTGATGGGTTATTGATTGCAGTTTAACGACTCGCTCAAAAAACATGCAAACCAGTTTTTTAGGTTTTAAAATAATCTAATTGGTTCAAGCTTCGACTCTCAAAGCAGAAATGACTATCTGAAAAGTCAATTGTCAAATCATAACAATTTTGATACCTTGTTAGAGCTTTCGAAGTAAAGCGGGCAACAAAAAAGGTAGACGAAATATTTAGGAACACATTTGCTACATTTCCCCACCGGAGCTTCATGGATAATAATTGATTATAATGGAAAATTGTTGTCTAAAATGTTGTCATTATAATTCAATATTGTTGCAAATTTAGACCACAAATTCGATTACATTGTCATTATAATCGATTATTTTTGTTAAAAAACACAATCCATTGAAATTTATTATAATGGATTATAATTCATTTAAAATCCATTATAATTGATTATAACAGATCATGATTTTTACATTTTTTTTGCAAAATCATTGGCAAAACTTGAAACATTTCTGCGTTATTCACGGGCTTCTTTCAATCTAAATCTACTCAAATCGAACCCGACTCACTTTGCCTTCACCCCATCCCTCTCACACCGCGTGTGTGTAGGGTAAACTGGGGAAGGTGGTTATTAAAATTTGGTATTAAAAGAGGTGATGGAGCTTACGTTCGTTATAGAAAAAAAACTTAAATAATTAAAATCTTAAATGAAAATAAAAAATTTAAGATATGTAATTTCTAGCAACAGGAAATGAGATGACTTTGAAAAAAAATCGGAAAATTAATATATACTTCTCAAAAAAAAAAACATTTTAACCGATTATAATATTTCTTGATGGATTACATTGATTTAAAAAATTTTATGATTATTATCCGTTTTTAATGGATTGTAATCGATTGTAATCGATAATAATGGATTATCTTGATTAAAAATACGAGAATTATAATTTCTTTTTGACGGATTGTAATCGGTTACTTTTGTAAATTAATAGATGCTCTCTATAAAATGACAATATAATCGATTATTATCCTTCATTGAACTCCAATGCGCGTTAAATTTTCGACAGTGATTGAAGTTTCGTTTTAATTTTTGACTAGCCCACATCAGAGACTCAAATTGGAAACCGGCCTAGTTGCCTGCGTGCCGCTTAGAATGCGGCTACTAGCGCAGTAGAACTGAGTTTTTCTTGTCACATTTGCATCTGAAACTTAAACTGATGCATTCCAATTGCACATGCTAGATTGCACACAGATGCAAGTCGCTACATCCCCCCCCCGCCAAAGCAGATATGTTTCGACCAAATTTGACCAATCACGCGCATTAGCTACATGATCATTAATCTTAAAGTTCAACATCCAAAAATGGTGAAATCATTATCTTTGAAAATTGATTTATAACTAGCAACACTTTTTTTATTGATTGCGTTTCAAATAAAATCTCAAGCAAAAAATTTTTTACTTAATTTTTAGACAAAAAGTGATAAGGCTCACAATTTAGAGTGTCTGAAAAAGAAGTTTTACTGACCTTACTAAGCAGCAGTTTTGAATTTTAAGTTAGTTGTAACATTGAATATACCAGCAAAATTAAATTGACAATGCACACAAACGCAGCAAGCAGCATGGAACATGTCCGCTTAAAAACTAAGTCCAAAAATAATGAAAAAAGTTCGTCATAATGGAAACTTCAGGGAAGTTAAAGTACAATTGTACAATTGTGCAAGTGAAGGATGAATCTAAAAATCAATCCAAATCCGCTTTCATAAGTTAAATTCCGCTCAAAGAGAAAAGAATAGTTTTCTAGACGTGGTTTGATTATCAACCATTTTGTACCACATATTTCTAAGACTGCGCGCATCGGCTTTTAATAAGGTTTTCAAAAACCTTGTGTTGTTTTTGAGAAAAAAGAAAACGTTTTAATCTTTTTTAAAAACATTCTTTTTTTACTATATTTTAAGTATTGCAATAAACTTTTTAATAAGCTTGCTTCAAATTAATTACTGAGCCAGATTAGTTTCCCACGTGTTGATAACTCGCGAATCATTTAAAGAGGCAGTTTTCCTAACCCATAACATACAATGGTTTTGAATAGGAAATCTCGTCCAACCGAACTCGATTGTTGCAAAAAGCGCCACTTAACGTAAAATTGAATTAAATAATAGGGTAGCGGATACTTCACTGAGCTATTTATGAGAAGAATGTTTGCTTAATATTGAATTATTTCCCTTCTTCAAAAGTCGGAACAAGAGGACCACGCTGTCTCAAAACTTTCAGCTTTGCAGAAACAAAATTCTCAAGTATTGTTCAGACTATTTTTAGAAAATGATTGAATATTTGTGCTCGTGGTTGTTCTTTCTCTCCAGACAAATGTTGACTTTTTAAATAGCAAATTATGGAAATTTTTAAAATCTCATTCGAGGGGTTTTGTTATCTTGAGCTCAATTTTAAAAAAGATATCCCACCTGTGATCAATTTTTGTGATTAATTGGAGACCATTAGCACGCGATGTAATACGTTCTTATAGCTGTGCTACTTGGAGCAAAATCCATCATTTTATACTTTAAATGGAATGTGGGGTGATGATTTTCATAAAAAAATATCAAATTTTAAAAAATTTCATTTCATTACTGCGCCATAGACCTTAAGAGGCAGTCGGAACATTCAGGGCTTCAGAACATTTTATGATGAAAAATCATAATTCTCATCAAAAGCAAAGCTCGCAACAAGATTGATTTGCCAAAACCCTAATTTTTCTCTGCTTTCTAGAATTGAGTACTCTCGAAAAAAAAAATCCACTGTAAGCCGATATAATTGATTATAATTCAATAATTTTGGCACGGATACTGATTATTTTTGTCAAGATAATTCATAATAATCGATACTATAGAAAAAACTGGCAAATTACTATAGAAAAAACTGATGCTTAAATTTCCTCTACGTTCCTGTAATTTGAAATTTTGCTTTGTTTTTTAAGGTTTCATAAATCTCATCGACTGTTGAATTTCAGCTCCAGATGTGATTGTAATCAGACCGACTGTCTCAGGCAGATGCCCTGAATGCCTTTTTGAAAATTTGAAGTAGTTTTTGAAGAAAAAAATTTTCTTATAAATCCTACTTTTCTTACCAGATTAAAAACAAAGTGATATACAAAGTGCTGATTTAAATTGACTGGACACAACAAAATTTGAACCTTTAAACGCCTTTTTCTCAAACAGTTAGGATGAGGCAAAAGTGAAGAGAACAAAAAATCCCCAGAAATAATTTTTTTCCCGAAACTTTTTGCAAAAACGTTACACCAAAAAACGCGTCTTTTTGGATTTTCTGAAACTCTTTAATAAGTTGATGCAAAATTTAGATCACAAGAAGCCTCTTAATCAGCCCAACAAATCCTGACTTTGTAGCTAGCAATGTTTGACAAATTTTTTTTATATCATTGAAAACGTATTGTTGCCCTGAGCTCAAATTCAAAAAAATTTTCACCTGTGATAATTTTTTTTCAGTTATGGGGGTTTAAAGATAGCCAATTTGACCAATTTGCTGCAGTTAACGCAAATGTTTTGTGTTAATAACGCGTTCCAAATGAAATTGAGGCAAGCTATTTGGTCTATTTAAGACTTTGCTATATGCGAAATATTTCAGCAAATTGTACTTAACATAGCGTGTAGGGGATTTTACTTTGTACTTAACATAGCGTGTAGGGGATGATTTTCAAGAAACAATTTTATTCGATTTATTTTTTGGAAATTTCATCCAATTTATTAAAGCGAACAATCAAATCCATAGACTTTAAATTGCAGTCGGAACATTCAGGGCTTCGCTCTGATAAGAGCAGTGTTGTTCATAATTATTTTCAAAAATGAACATGTTTTACAAAATCACTCATGGCTCAAACTTAAAGCGGCTGAATAAAAAGTTTAAAATAATTTAAAAATTCAGATAAAATTTTCTGGATTTACACACATGATACGCGCTTTAAATCCACGTTTGTGCAACACACAAACTAAAAAGAAGTAATTTGCACACGTCGTCAAACTGTTTTTAGTTCCGTATTTGCAGTATTTCCTGTAGAGTTATGTCTGCTTAAAATAGGAGAATAGTATTGGACGGAAATTATCTGAATTTTGTGAAAACGGAGGTTGAAAACGTCAATTCTCGGAAAGAAATGCAAACACCATCCAAGATTCACAATTACGCCGAACTGTGCCACTTTTGTTGAAAAAAGGGACAGTTCAGTACAAATACAGGTTCTTGCTACTGATGAAAAAACACCGAAATGTACGGTACCGTAGACAGTTCAGTAGAAATACAGGTTCTTCTTACTGATGAAAAAACACCACCGAAGAAGTATCGTAGCGTAAAGGACAGTTCAGTACAAATCCAGGTTCTTGTTACTGATGAAAAAACACCACCGAAGGAGTATCGTAGCGTAAAGGACAGTTCAGTGCAAATACAGGTTCTTGTTACTGATGAAAAAACACCACCGAAGAAGTACCGTAGCGTAAAGGACAGTTCAGTACAAATACAGGTTCTTGTTACTGATGAAAAAACACCACCGAAGAAGTATCGTAGCGTAAAGCACAGTTCAGTACAAATACAGGTTCTTGTTACTGATGAAAAAACACCACCGAAGATGTATCGTACCGTAAAGGACAGTTCAGTACAAATACAGGTTCTTGTTACTGAT